AGAAGGGGGCTTGCAGGAACAAAATGGGATGAAGTCAAAGTGCGATAAATCTCAGTTAGACCACAGGAGGAAGTCAACAGGAAGAAGACAGTGACAATAAGCCTGTGAGGGGAGGGATTCTTTTCTGGGCTGGGAGACTAAACATTGCACAGATTCTGAGCTGCTCCAGCTACCTCATCACTGTGTGTTTACTTCATTAATTCATCCACATCTGTTGAGCATCTGTAGATGTTCAGGTGCTGTGGAGGCTGTGAGTGCAGAAGAGCTGAGAAAGGAAAGCGGGGGGAAAGAGTGGTGAGCACCAGAACTAGCTCAGGGTTGCTGCCCCAGGGAGGGGCAGTCCACAGCAGAGAGGCCTCTGAAAAAGTGCAAGGCCCACCCTGACCCACAGCGGGAAGGAGTCTCTGGAACAGGAAAGCTCTGGTGACATGGGATGGTTGAATGCCCAGAGGAAAGAGACAGACAACGTACCTTCTAGGCAAACACTTTCGATTGTATGACCACCTCCAAAGGATCCAACTTCTGAAATGTCTTTGGTCTGGGCCTTCATTCTCTTTTTTGCCCCCAAATCTGAGCCTTGTGTCCTTTGTCCCCAGGTATGAAGAGGAGGTGGCACTAAGGGCCACCGCTGAGAATGAATTTGTGGCCCTGAAGAAGGTAAGTGGCCCCAGAAAGCTTGTCCCCAACTGAGACTCAAGGGCAGAGGCAGGAGGGAGCTCTCTGTAATTCCGAGAGGCTGAGCAACTCCCCCAGAACCACACAGCCCAACCTCTCCCCAATTCCTTTCCGCAGAGGCTCCAGTGCTCCCTGGGTAGCCCCTGACATCAGAGTACACTGCCTGCTCCAAGCAGGGCAATATTCTCCCCCATCCCAGGCCACTCCCATGTGGCCACTGTCTTCCCAGCTCCTTTGGCCCTGGGCCTGGCAGAGAGTGGGCACTCAATGAGTACATGTGAATGAAAGAGCACATCAGTGCCCGGGAACGGCTACACCACCAGGCCAGCAGCAGCTGGGAAAGGCTGGCATGAACAGTAACCCTCGTCCTTCGCCTCTGAGACGTGCTTCTGTACCAGTGCCTCACACGCACTCCTCAGACCCTTCCAGCCACCTGGACACCCACGAGGAAGGCAGGGCTC